CATATTTTTATAGTTTCTGTAGAATGTTATGATGCGAACCAAGACGGTAGATATTAACCCGATCAATTGTTTTTGTGTGCAGGACATAAGCGGTAAACCTCTTCAGACAGCACTGTTGGCGACATCGTCGTCGGGCGTGGTGAGCAAAGACTGTCCTATGCATAGCAACAGCGAACGAAGCTTGAACAGTCCGGTAATGAGCGGTCACAGCCTGTCGGGCAGTGGTATGTCCGGCGGCGGCGGTGGAGGCGGCGGCGTGGTCGGGAGCAATAACAGTGGCGGGGGCGGCAGCGGCGTGGGCAGTGGCGGTCGGTCGCAGTCGCAGCTACAGCAACAGCAGCAGCACGGTCGACCACCCAGCCTTGGGAGCACCGTGGACGTGGTGTCCGGGACAGGTGGCAGCGGTGGACGGCCGGCCAACATAATGGTGGACGACCACGCACACCTTCGCCGTCACCAGCAGCAGCATCACCGGCAGAACGACGACGATGACGACGACGACACCGGTACGTCAACGTCGTCGGACGAGAGCGGCAACGACTCGTTCACGTGCTCAGAAATTGAGTACGATAACAACAGCGTGTCGGGCGAGAAGCTCAGCGACGTAATATTCAACAAGATCGGCAGCAGCGGTGGCAAGAGCGCGTCAGGGTCGTCGGACCGGGACTCTCAGCGTCGCCGCCGGTTGCCGCTCCCGTCACAGCTGCCGCCTTCGTCGTCGTCGTCGTCCGACGCCGCCGTCATGGCTGCCCAACACCAGCAACAGCAACAGCACCAGCAACAGGAACAAATGCAGGCGGCCGCGGGGTATGACACGTTCGACTCTTCGTTCAGGGGCTCCTTGAGCACGCTGGTGGCGTCCGACGACGACGGCCCAATGTACCGCAACGTCCGGACGCCCAACAACAACCCGTCCGAGTCGTCGAGCATACCAGTGGGGCTCGGCTGGGATTACCTGCTCAACTGGGCCCCGTCCAACAACGGCATGAGGCCGATCATGCAGCCGCCGTCGCCGTCTTCGCCGTACACCGATCACGATCACCGCATGCACCACCACCATCACCATGTTGGCGGCGGTGTCGGTGGCGGCATGGGCAGCGGTCAGTCGGCCGCCGACTCCGTGGCGACGAGAACGGGCGAAGGTACATCGTCGTCGCGACAGTCGCCAAAGTCTCCCGAAGAGTACGTCTGACCACAACGACGACAACGACCGCCGCGACCGTATTGACAAATGATTAATAAGTCGCGCCGGGCCGACGCAAACGGTGCTAGTCCAAAATATTATTCCCCGTCCCCCGAGCAGTCACCATTATTATTAATTATTATTATTTTTATGTATTTAAATTCCTGTCTCTTTCGAATCCCTTTTTTTTATATATATATATATATTTTTATAGTTTTAAGTAATTTTACTGCGTGTACATGTGTAATTATTATTATTACGATAATAGAAAAAAAGTATTATAATATAATCGCGTTCTGTAAAAAACATTTTAACGATATGTACAAATTTCATATACATAAGATACCTATTATAAATAAATATATACATATGATATTATAGTCGTAGACGTATATGTGTATACAAAGATACGTGTTTCGCGATTGTACATAATATTTGTGCCATATAGTTTTGTAAGTAATTATGTATTATGTATATATATAAAAACAATATGTGTACCAATGAATAAAAAATTGACTGATTTTCTTATTTTTCCAATTTCGTGTTCGCTTCATTTTTTCCAATGCGGAAACGCTCGTTCACTAAATATATTCTTTTCTCCACTGCGCACAAAACGTTGTTGATCGTTTTTGCTTAAACTCACCCACACAAACGGATAATAACGCGTGTCCAAGTGTCTTGGAAAGTCGGAACCCTGACTGTCAGGGCCATATTTGGACACTAGCTGTATGTCCCAAAGCGATATATTTTTGATACACCATGTGACAAAAAAGTAAATTCTTAAAATGTAAGGTATAAATAAGTGTAATAACATTATAACTATAACTATTGTTATAGACAATGTTTGTTCACAGAAAATTGATCCAATTATTTATGTTACTCTCACTAATGTAGTATTGGTGAATTACATAGTATATAAATACATGTATATGTATACATAATATATATATTTAAAATATGTAATACCCATGTGGGTTTTTGTCAAATTTATTACGAATCATATAATCATAAAAATAGGGTAAGTGGATGTCGCTCTGCTGTAGGTACATTGGGTGTTTAAGAGGTCGCTGCAATGGATGGTATTAAATTTGAATTCAATGATATCAAATCATAGTTTACGAAAAACCATTCTGAGCGGAGACGGTATAGTCAGTTTAGGATATTTTATATTGTTATTACTTACCGCGGTTACAACGAAATGATAAACGTTATTCTTTGTGTTAATATGCAATCTTATCCAAATTTGAACTTAAAATGTCTGTAAAAATAACTGCATTCATATATTTTTTAGAATATTTTTTTTATTTACGGAAAAACTGCTTAAGTGAAACCTTGTTTTAAATTTTCAATTCTTAACTATAAAAATTGAAATTATTTTATACATTTTTAACTAAAAAGTAATTTTCAATTTTCAATTTGATAAATATTGCCAACATTTGAACTTTAAATGCTTATCAAACAAAATCGTGCTATGTGTTTTTAATATTTTTCAACTGCTGTTGTAACAATATATCAAAAGTAATTGTATTCAATTTTCATGCTTTTTGACCCAACCAATAAAATTGTATTGACATTTATAGAAAAAATCCTTGAAAATATCAATCAACAGCTGAAAACGAGTCAAAATATTTTGAAAATGTTATCACGCATATAAATTGATGAAATAAACATTTGGTGTTAATTTAAAGTGTCTACAGTTATTCGTTTTCGAATTACAACAAAATAAGAAAATCGCTACAAGAAAAATCGAGTGAATAACCAATGTTAAAAAAATTTAAACTTCAAACGCTCATAAAAATTTAATTTGACTTTCCGATAGAAATTGTATTAAAGGTAGAAAAACTTGTAAGGAATCTTGTAATAAATGAATTTTTAAATCTTAACTATAAAAATAAAAGTTTTAACTAATTATAATTCGCTGATTTTCGTGATTTTTAAGAATTTTGTCAAAATTCTATGTTAAAAGCTCATAAAAAATGTCTTGTGAATTTACACTCAACTTTTTTTTAAATTTCCATTAACAACAACTTAAGAGGAATTAGTAGTATTACATTTACAAGTTTTTGACGTGGCGAAAATTTTTTTATCGATTTTAGTTTAAAAAAAACAAATAATAATCGAAAATTTCATATGCCTATAAATAGTTCAACACAATTCAAAATATTTTGAATTGTGATGAAAATGAAATTTAATTTTTGGTCATTTTTGTTAGAATTACACTAAAAACCAAAATCGATTTTTTCGAAAAATAGTTTTGTGTGAAAATTCCCGGTTTTCCTTAATTTTTTGTTTGTTTTTCCTGTTGCTTTTGAAAACTATTGGGAATTAAAAATTGTTTTCCTCCCGAATGCACCAACTAGATTCACTTTCCTACCAGAAAAGTTGTGGTTGAAGAAAATCGAAGCATTTTTACTGTAATAAACTGTGATGACAGACTCAAAAAAATATATAAAATATAAATAAATATAAAAACACTCATCGTTGTAAAATAAAATAAATATATAATACAAGTTTAACTTAGAATGAGTTTTTAAAATGATGTCCTAACGAAATGTAATTTAGATATCAATTATACATCATTGAAATCCAATCACAAAGGAATTTTTCCGGAGAGGATTGTGATCCCTAACTACGTGTTAGCGCCACTGATCCTGTTCAGTCATTACATGGCATTTTATGATAGCTTTCAGTTAATAACTTGCCCTGTAGGTACTCATAGAGTTCATTGTCTTGTTAATAGTATACTACACTTCGATTTAAGCGGTTAGTGTTCAAATTATGATCATTCAACACTATGATAGTACCTTCCTAATAGGTATGTGACAATGCAATATTGTTTATTATTTATATTGTGTATACATATTTACTATTAAGGTACTTATATCACATAATACTGTAAAAAAGTGTGGACATTTTTTTTTTTAATGAATCGATGGTTCCATTTAAGTCACCTATCGGCTATCGGTATAGTGGTACCATAATACTTATACTACTTTTGAAGTACCTATCAATGGGCCACACATTCAAACAGAAAGAACTTGAACATTAATCAAAGACGTGAATATTGAATTGTTGTGTACAATTATTCTGTATAGAAAATAATAAATAAATATTCGATTTCATTAAAAATTTAAAATAAATATTCTGATAAATGCATGACTTACATTAAAAATTGCTGCAAATGCACATTGTACACTCTTTAGTATAGCCTGAACCCTGTAACACTGATGAATGATGATTAAACATCTCATTCAAATTAGTTTTATATAATATATTACCTTCTTAAGTTATAAGGGCATATAAAAACACGGAACTATGTTACTTCACCGCGGACACTCTTTTATTTAAACTTATGCAGATGAGTACATTAAAATCCATGGCGAGGTCAGAATTTTCCGGTCAGAATTAGTTTCGAAGTTAGTTGGACATAAGTATTTTAAAAGTTTAAAATACCCACGAATATTTTTAAATAACAAAAACACAGGTAAATAAAATCGCTATTTTCTCATAGTTATAAATTGCTCAAAAAGAGTCCAAAATATTTAGAAAATGTTATATCATGTATGGCAAATGATCATATAAACATTTGGTGAAAATTTAAAGTATTTATTTTAAGTATCGGTTATACGTTTTAGCGTTTCAACAACAAAAATAAAATCGATTTTGTTAAAAATTGGTTTTGCATAAAAATTCTCATTATTTCCTTCTTTTAATTTTGGCCCCCAAAATTAGTAATAAGTAATTAATAACGTAGGTTGTGAATAACGAGCTTAACAAATGCATAATATTTATGAAATATATAAAATACACAATGCTCTGCAGGTTAATTAATGTTTATTTTTTAATAGCTATTATATCACTTTCTAGGCTACATATATTTTAGTATACATTAGAACATAATAGATATAAATAATGTGGTATAATGTGAGAATAATATTATCAATAATAGCAGTTAAATATATCACTTCAAACGCATTAGTTAATAATCTAATATAAATAGATAATGTATTAAGATATAAAATTGACTAAATCAACAAGAATGTTAAATATATTTTTTTGTACACCAATATAAAATATTTTATATTATTGATGTGATTTTTTACCTTTAAAAAAAAAGTTTTTATTTTAAAATTAATATAACTATGTGTAATGAATACATAATAATTTAAAAATTTGAGAATTGTATTACAAAATTACTATCAGTAATAGACTAGCAAAGAATGTGGTCAACAATTAGAACAATCTTAAAATATAAAAGTATTACTATAACAGTAGTATGGAATGACAATTATTACAATATATAATGGCTCATATTGATAGAGTAAAAAAAAAAATAAAAAAATAGAAAAGTTAGAAAAAGAAGGAATTATCAGATAATTGTAATAGTTCTAAAATATTTTAATAATACTAACATGCTAGTTGCAAATGTGAAAACCATCAACTAATTTATCAACAATTTTTAAGCAGCTACTTTAAATATAAAAATCACATAATTAAAACATGATTATGATGGATAAATAAGATGGTTTTGGTGTTTTAATAACTATTATTTAACTCCTAAATAGAGTTCTCAATTACAAACTTTGGTAGCCAATTTCATGTATTTGATTGCTGAATCCAATTTAGGAATCTGTAAAAAGAAAAAAATACAATAAACAAATAATACTAGTAATTGTTTTATAATATATATTTATATGTAATAACCAGGGCTCGCAAGTTCACACCCTAAAAATGCATGCACTTATTCATTATGAACCAGCCGAAAAACCAACTTTTGAAAATGCTTTGAACAGTACAGAAATATGCATTTAAATGCACTAAAAATCTAAAGTTATGTGGATTTAGAAAAAAAAGAAATCATAAGTAATTTTTGATGTAGCAAGAAATATTTTAAGAAATGTATTTTATACAACTAAAAAAATGCATGCTTATGCTTAATATAATATCAATAGAAATACCTCAAAAAATTATAAATAATATGCCCAATAAAATGGAAAAACACATGCTTATGCAAAATAGTCAAAAATATGCAAAATAAAACTTCACACACTGGTAACCTTGGTAACTTGAAATGGATGAAATTCTATATCATCTAGAATTAAATAGAACTTAGCAAGATTGATATGCAAATGCATGAACTTACAAGCTCTGAACTAATAACTTAATTTATTCTATTAAATATTAAAAGTAACTAATATTTTATTTAATAACTATTGGTTAATGTTTATTTTAAAAAAATACTAACTTATGAAGTCCTGACGTATTTTCTATTCCAAATAAGAGTGTTCTACCGCAGTGCATACAATAGGGCCACGAAACAATGTCCCCCCCCCTTCCCCCCGACAAAGTATAATTGTTTTGTGATTGGGTACTGTTGACACTATTGTGCACACAGTACCAGAAATGGCCTAGTGGGTATGCATGCGTGAATTTGACTGGTTTTTGTTTGCCACCTGGTATGCTCTTATTTGGAATGGAGTATAGCGTTACTTAAAGCTCGGTGATCATGGTTGATGTTAAAGCTTGAACTCTTTTAGCATTACAACTTTTGCACAACACATGGTCATCTAATGGATAACATCCTCTACCTTCAGCTTCTGATCCTAATAAAGTATCACAATCCTAGAAAAATAAATTTACAAATTTATGTAAAATAAGATGAAATTGAATAAAAAATTATTAAAGATAATTTTTTTAACTGACTTCACATCTATAACATTGTACATGGAAGCTTCGGTCCAATGCAACAAATCTGACTGTTTCATCTTGACCAACCTCTGGCATAATAGGAAATTGGCATACACTGCATTTTGGAGCAAATTTCCTATTCAAAAAATTGTGTTAATATTTATTGAGTTTATAATATGCACTCATTTAAAAGTAACGGTAATAAATATTTAACATCTTAACATTTATTATTCAACTATTTTATTTTTATACAGAAATTGATGAAAATAGAAAAAATATTCATACTCTCAAATGTTTTAATCAATTTTCTGCATTTTTAATCTTTGTTAAGAAAATAAATTGATTATATTTTATGTGACCATTTTATACGAGCAAATCCATGTTTTTTGATCTTAATAATATTAAAAGAAAATGATATTGTTTTTTCAAATCATAATCAATAATCCTTATATAATGCAAAACTTCTACTTATTTACTACTACTGTTCTTTTATTGTCCAAACAATATGAACAACCCACCTATCTGCCTACTTGATAAATATTCAGATATCTTTATAAATTTGATTATTATATATATATGTGTGCAGAGTATACAAGATGCCTTACTTGTGAAAGTCATCAATACAATAAATTTGATTGGCTGCATCAATAGTGAAGGGTATACCATCTAATAATGTAGAGCATACAATACATCGGAAACAGTGTGGATGATATGGGCGTCCAGTGGCTCTCAGGATTCTATCCAAAATTGGTATTTGACAAACAGAACATTTTTCCAGTGTATCCTGAGTACAATACAAATTAAATCTAAAAATATTTGTTTTAATTGCTATCAAATACAATTATTATATTTAAATATCATGCATACATAAATATACTTGGCGCACGTTAAGTCGCGACTGGTCATGATCTTAACGTTCGCCGAGTATATAAACATACATACATACATTAATAACAGAAAATAAAAAATATTAATTTATAACAAAACTAAAGAATGGAAAATTTAAAACATTAAAGAAAATAAATAATCATTATAAAAATGCAGAAAATATTGTAAACTGTTTATTGATGAATAAAGGCATAGGCGACTTGTGTGTAAAATGTAATTGTTATAATATCACCAAGATATTGCGAACGCTGCATGGCTTATTTGACTTATAAAAATAGTCAGAAATTATCATCTATCAGATTTTATTTAGTTGAAAAATATTCCCCATCTCTGATTTATTTTTATACAAGAATTAATTTCTATGTTTCTAATGCATGTTTATTTATAATTTATACTAGGGGACAATCAATGAAATGTTAGTACACAGTTATGTATCATATTTAACAAGTAGAAAATGATTCTTACACCAATTTGTTGAAAATAATTAACTATTAGAAATTATTTACAAGTTTTGTTATCACTCAATGTTAAATTAATATAAAATATTACAGGATTACATGATATAGCATTATATTCAAAACTGTAATAACTAATAACTAATAAATAGTAACAATGTTAACTGTTCATGTTATAATTAAGTTAATACTTACCAAATAACCCTCTTCACAATATGGTTTGTTATCAATGTGATAAAATGGTTTTCCTTCCAATTGATCGCCACAATGGGTACAGGTAAAACATTTTATATGATAAATATTACCCATTGCCGTGCATCCAAGACCTTCTTCCATTACTTTTTCATTGCATTTAGTACAATTCCCTAAATATATATAATAAAATGGTTATTTTTATTAATAATTTAAATTATTAACTCTTAATTAATGTAAACAATAATATTATAAAATATACAACTATAAAAGATACTTACAATCTAAACAACTTGCATTACTGTCCAAACTTTTTTTACCATCATTGACAGACATTGAATTTACAAGGAGATCAGTTAAAGAATCAACTTCGGTTTCATGTTCACGAGTGGTAATAGACTGTGAAAGACTGCTCATTGAATATGTAGATGATAACTCACTAGGTGGACGGACAGCATTAATAGGCTCATAGATTGATTCATACATTTTTGATGCCTATAAGAAATAACAATTAAAATACAAATGATTAATGCAGTGATACCTATCTTATTGCCTACTCACCTGAGAAGAAGAATTATCAAAATCTTTTGCATCATCTTCGTAACTAACTGCTTTTTGAAGTTCAGAGTAACTAGAACTTACTGGAGATGGAGGGCAGTGTATGTTATCTTTACCTACTTTAAATAAATATAATAACATTAAATTAAATTAAAATAATGTACAAATAAATAATAACAAACCTAATGGTTTTAGATTGTCATATAATGGATATTGAGTATTTTTATAAGTTGGTTTGCCTGTTTCAGCAATGTTAGAATATATGTTGTTGGATTTTTCATGGTAGTTCACATTGCTATAAATGCCCTGGGAAGGTTGTGGCATTTTATTTGTTACTGTATTGTAGTAAGTGGGTTCATTCTGGGGAGTCAACTCTTCACTCTTGTACTTCACTCCAGAAACATTGGCATATAGTGGACTAGACGGTTTTTTGTACATATTTCTGAGAACTAGATTTATAACTGTATAAACAATAGTAAAAATATTATTAGTCACTTGTGTGGAATTCGATGACAATAGAACGAATGTTGAGTTAATAATGACATTTTTTTGTTGATGATCGCTGTTCTCACCTGGGAAATGTCTTGATTGCGGTCTAGTACTTACAACTATTAAATTTTAAATACCTTGACAGGTCGAGAGTCGACCGATTGCGAACAGTTATTTTTTAATGTAGTTTGGAAATGGGAATAATTTTAATAATGTGAGATTAGATTACAATATAATATTATAATTAATAATAATAATAATAATATTTGATAACAGAATGATATCATCAAGAAATATATATATAATATCCACATTGGATATCATGATAAGCAAGATGTCATAATAATCATTATTCATGCAGAATTCCATGCCTCATGGAGGAAAAAGTGTTGTCAATAGAAAATTGGTGGGCTGGTGTGACATTTGTTTATAGTTTCAATTGAAATCTGTACTTGTGTAAATGCACATTATTAGTTAGTTGGGCAGAAGACTTGTAGCATTTGCATAATTGCATATTTGTTTTGCACGATTACAAAAATATCAGAGTAAGAAACAAATACGCTTAATGCTGAAACAAAGCTAGTTTCGAAATTGTATATTGCATAATATAAATGCATATTTCGAGTTTTTTTGGTTTTAGTGCATGTTTCTTCAATTCTATACGTTAAGATGCATATTTTTAGTAATTTTTCATTTTATCAATATTTTTAAAGTTTTTATTTAATTTAAATATTTAATATACAACCAAAATGATGTTGAATTTAAAATTATTTAAAATTTTTATCATATTAATATGGTTGTTGACTGTTCCCACAGGCATGTTTTTCCTAGAGACACGATTAGATTTATTTTCTGGTTATTAATTGTATTTATGTACAGATATTATTCACTGTATACGATATTATTAACCCGGGCCACGGGGACATCGGTTTCTGACATCAAAATTTAAACAAAATATATTCATACAAATAATCTTATTTTTTAATGCATAATAATATAGATAGTAATTTTAAAATACATATTTTTAATGCATATTTTGTACATTTTATTGTATGTTTGGTGATTTTTTTAGAGCTACAAGTCCTCTGCCCTAGTAATTAGTATAATACTATAACATTGAATATTGATGGGGCACTTATCATGTATGTAACCCTGTTTTGAAATTAGAAAATAAATCTGATTGGGTCCCTTTATGATGGTTATTAGCTATATTATAACATTATTAGTTCTAAATATAGTAAGAAATCAAACTACAATTTGCAATTACTCTAAAACAGTATAAATTGGATTATTCTGAATGTAAAATTTGCCATTACGTTGATTCATCGTTGGAGGTAACAATACATCTTCTTTGAAAAACGACTTCTTAAGAGGTTATAGATAGACAATTTTAACCACACATTAACAACAACAAAATATAATTAACATTTATTAAAATTACCGTTTAAGTCATTTTAATCATTAATTTATAATTGTATTAATATTAATGTAGTCAGAACAGTGTTACAGAAAAATTAACTTTAAAAACAAACATAAATTGTAAAAGGCTACAATATAAGTAAGAAAGGTGATAGCCATTATAACCCCCCCCCCTTTTAGCTGAAGCTTTCAAATTTCCAATGAATACAACTCGTTGGTACCAACTCTAAATAACCCATCTACATCGTAAGTTATAAGTTAAGACTTTAAGTTGTTATGGATGAAAAGCGTTTGGTCATTGTATACGACTTACACACACTCAACATGAATGACTTACATAAATAAACAAAAAATCACTTTCTATTCGATTCCGATTACATCTGACCGGATATTGTAACCCGTGACTACTATGATTATTGCATTACAATATGAAGGCACCTATATTAATACTCATAACAAGAAACGGATACGGATACCTATGATATTACAGATAGTTCCGTTGTGTGTAGATGTTCACGAATGCAAGATTACGTAATATACTGTACCTACCCAATAAACTAATAAATAATAATATAATTTATTACTATTAAATATTAGTTGGTAATAGGTATTACATTCATAATTCATAAAATAATATTATTATTCATTAAAAAGAAATCATTTCGGTGAATGGAATTTTAATGAATGCATATAATGTATGCGACGTACGACTGCGAGTACCTACCCATGTGACGCGCACCTATATACCACAATGCCCGAGCGAGAGTGATACAACTTTAAAATGAGTTACGTAATTATTTAATTTATAAGCGAAATCCGTTATGGAAAATATGATACATTTTATTAATAATGATATTTATACATTATATTATTATTAATTTAAGTTTAATGCACATTCGATGCGGTTTCTATGTTAATTTTTCACCCCTTTTCATTAATACCTTTCGCATTTATTCAAAATCTGATTTTTGAAATTTTCGATTGTAACTAACACTCTACGAGGTACTTATATGGCTATATCTACACCAAGATCATTTTTTAACATTCTTAAGCATTTAGGTTTTCGGTACTATACGTATCTACTTAATGAGTGTCCAGTGGAGATTTACAAGAATACACACTTCTGTTTTTTAAAGGAGAACCTCCCTTCTCTACAATAAAATATTCAGTCTCAGTGGATAATTTTTCATAACATTTAGACATAAGTATAGACTTATCAAAATGAAAATTCGAACGAGTAGTTTTTGAGTTATTTAACAATTACCTAGCTATTGATGTACCTACTATTTAGTAAGGATAATAGATCCATAGTAATGCAATTGGAAGATAATAATATGAAGCAATAATAGTTTGAAAATGTTAGTAATTAATATTATCTAAGAATAATTATAATTTTCAAAAATTATCCAAGCATATCATAACATATATTTTGTTTGTAAAATAATAATTTTTAAGAACTATTGTACTTATAGTATAAAAACATTTTTTATAGCAGAGAAACTATTCGTTCAAATTTTTAGTTAGATATTTAGATGCAACTAGGAACAATAGGATTTTTATGAATAAATCAATAACTGAGTTTTCTGGGAGCTTTTATGTGCAGCTTCTCTCAAGAATAACCCAGACTCGTAACCACTTTCTAAAATAAAACAATAGTTACTTTTCAAGACTTCTTAAAACTGTAAAAAAATTATTCAATGGTTAATTAATGTATGTTTAGATTTAGAACTATAGAACTATAGACCTGCGGTTCCAAACCTTTTTAGTTGTGCGGAACTGCGGACCACCAATTATGTAAAAAAAAACTTTTAGGCATAAGGTACCTACTATACTTACCTGATATACTATACTATACTTACCTAATGTACAGGTATAAAATATAAACACACACAGATAAGATGATAGATAAAATATCGACGTGTATAAAATTATACAAAAATCTGGATTTTGATGCCAATTAAAATGTGCTGACCCTTAAGGTTTAGAGACCAGTGTCCGAGGCCCAGTACCACATTGCCCGAGGTTCACAAGTGGACCTCGGCCCATGGGTTGAGAACCACTGCTATAGTCTATAGAGAAATATATTTTAGTATTTTCAACAACGAAGATGAGGAATTCGTTCAATCAGATTCAATATTATTATTGTGATTTCATCTGCCAATATATTATTTTATCAATTTAAAATACGATAGTAAATAATAAATATCCTTTCACTCCTAGGTCTTTATAAAACGATATTATTCCGTTGTCTCTGTTTTGTTATTATTGTGTATTTGTGTCACCATATTATTGTGTCCATGACTCAAAGTATAGAAGCTAGATTATATACTATGAACATGCAGTCATGCAGATGCTATTATTGGTATGTACTATTTAATGGTGTACGTTTTGGAATTTTATAGTCTAAAACAATTTTTTAAAACCATTTAAATTTGGTACCTAATTTAAATTCAATCAACTGAGTAAATAATTTATTCGAAATTCAAAATAGATAACTTTACTTTTTATAACAATCTTTAGAAAAATGTTTAAAAATATCTAACAATCAATTTTGTTATGTATAAAATATATCTATTCGGAAAAATTATAATTATTTCTCGTAATTGCTTTCGTATTGTATCTATTCAATTAACTTTTTATGACGTCAAGAAATTTCACCGAAACCCGACAAGCGAGCTAAGAAAGGCATATTATTACACATTGATCATCATAAATTGGGTTAGAGTAGTATATTAATATGAAATAATATAATATCCCTTTTCTCTGTATTTTTAATCTTCATTTAAATGTTTTTAAACTTCTACTTGAATGCTATAAAGTATATTTTGAAGCATAATGATCACTATTTATCATATAATAAATTGTTTATTATATTAAACTACTTATCTAATAAATAGTAAAAAAAAAAATGGAAATTATAAAAATTTAGTGTATTTCATTACCAATAACAATATTACATCAAACATATTTTTACAATACCTTTTAATTTTTATTATGTCTGATCTATTAATTTTAATTTTGATTCGACATTATATATTTATATACTATAACCTTTGCTCAATAGTATATATTTATACTAGTTTAGTACTATAGAATATAGTATTATTATGTTTTTGCCGTGTTGGCAAACTTTAAAATTAAACCTAGTATGGCTATATAAACTATTAATTGCATACATTACCTATTTTATTTTTATGACACTATTTAAATAATTACAACTTACTGAATATTAAAATACTGCAGTTGGTGAATATACATCGGTTATTGCTCATTTGAATTTAATGTTTAACTACCTAGTTAAAAATGTGTTAACTGCCAAGAATAGGAAAAAGAGAGTGAAACATGTGTTGGAATGTTAAATAGATGTAAAAAAAAAAACTTAATAAACCCCTTTTCCAATTTTTGTAGTAGAAAGTCAGTAACATCTAGATATAGATTTTTGGTAGCTTCTTTGATTTTTAGGACCTACCCAAAATACTAATATGTCGAGAAGGTATCATTATTGAGAAGAGTTAACGTTTCAATTGAGTACCTATACAATTTTGTGTTTATCTATTTGTGCCGAGTGTTCGAATTAACCTAATATTCAAAGTTATTTCATGAAACAAAAGTTTAAATTATGTATACAATATACATAATATGGTATATGAATTATGCAGTTGGTAACCAATAACTAATAGCCAATTAAAGGTACCTATATTGAATATAATATATAAATACAATATATTATTCTTATGTTATTATTGTTTATTTCTTATAGCCAGGTATCTTTTTTCCTTAAAAAATTGTTTTGAGTGTATAACGTTTGAAAT